ATGGCGGGAAAAGATAGGATGCGCGCCTTCCCAGATCCGCAAGGACGGGCGGGAAAATGGCGGGAAAAGATAGGATGCGCGCCATCCCAGATCCGTAAGGACGGGCGGGAAAATGGCGGGAAAAGCTAGGAAGCGAGCCATCCCAGATCCTCAAGGACGGGCAGGAAAATGGCGGGAAAAGCTAGGAAGGCAGCGAGGAAGACGAGGGGATACATTCGCTCCTCTCGTCGCTTCCGGTGTTAAGTTGTACGCGAAGATGGGAACGGGGAAGAGGCGTCAATATGGCGGCAAAAGAAGTGGAAAGAGGCGCGAAAGAGGCAGACAGAGGGCGGCAATGGCGCGGGAAAAGACAAGCAACGGCAGAGAAAGAGAGGGAGGGGGGAGAGGGGGGGAGGGAATACAGCAAAACGAAGGAAAAGGACAAAGGAAAAGGACAAAGGAAAAGGACAAAGGAAAAGGACAAAGGAAAAGGATTAAGGAAATGGTCGGGGAAGCGACAACGCAAGGGAAAGGCCGGAAAAGGGCATAAAATGGAGAAGCACGAAAAAAGACAGGTGATCTAGCAACCAGCCGATCTGTACGACCATTGCCGAGCCACATCGGTCGCTATTCGCCAGCGGGATCGTGCTCCCTCTGCACGCTGATTGATTGATTGATTGATTGATCGGCTGATTGATTGATTGATTGATTGATTGACAGGTTGATTCACAAATTGATCGGTTGATTGACTGATTGATTAGGTTGATTGACTGATTGATTAGGTTGATTGACTGATTGATTGATTAGGTTGGTTGATTTGGTGATCGATACATTGGGTTGGTTGGTTGGTTGGTTGGTTGGTCGATCGAAGGTACGATTAGATTGATTGCTTGATTGATTGTTGGCATGTACTTGAAAAAAGAAAAATAATTGTGAAGGGAGGGATTTTTGGCGTGCTGGCTGACCTGTTGATGACGGATATCCACTTAATCGTCGTCACAGCACTGCGCCTTCCTCTTCCTGCTCCATAGATACCAACCTCGCTGTCCGTTGAGTCATCTGCCTCCCGGTATCGCTGCCGTGCACGCTCCCACGTCTCCACGAGACTCTTTGCCAGCAGAGCAAAGCGCGCAGGTTCCAATCTTTCCACAGACTCCACAAGAACCGGCGGCAACCACTCATTACACAGATGCATCTCTCTCTCTCTCTCTCTCTCTCTCTCTCTCTCTCTCTCTCTCTCTCTCTCTCTCTCTCTCTCTCTCTCTCTTCTCTCTCTCTCTCCCCCCTTCTCCTCCCTCCCGGGCCTCCAAAATCAATCGCCCGCTGTGAATCAGCGACCCTCCAATCAAGAACAAAACAGTTGCAGAGGTAAAGACGAAAGGCGAGGCGTGTGATCGCAGCCACTGAATTCCGCCGCCAAACAGGATCCAACGATGCTTAGCTGACAACAACCGATACCCCTCACAGCAAGGATCCAACGATAGCCCCCTCTAATTCATACGGCTCATCGAATGACAATCGAATGACAACCTCCCCCCAATCTATCGGCAAGATTCACAAATGCATCGATCCCTCCGATCTCCCCTTCTCTTCCCCCTCTCTCCTCTCCTTAAACCTTCCGACTTCACCACCTTCCGATCAACTACGTGCTTAAGCTGTCGACTTAAGCCGCCTACCCGCACACACGCTCAGCCTCGTCCTTTCTTCCCTGCATAGCCTGCCTTCTCCGTTCCTCCGTACGCCCTTTCGTTGCTGAGGTACTTGGCATACATTGGCTTCTGACTCCCCCTTCCCTTCGTTAGATTGAGCAGAATTTACCTTAGCTTAGCTTAGCTGAGCTGAGCTTAGGCTAGATTTGCTAAAGCTTAGCTTAGCTTAGCTTAGCTTAGCTTAGCTTAGCTTAGGGTGGTTTCACTCTCAAGTGGCGAGGTCTGGCTTAGTTAAGCTTAGCTAAGCTGCGCAAGGACGCCAGCTTATCATACGTTAGCAGGGGCGTCCTTAGCTTAGCTTAGCTTAGCTTAGCTTAGCTTAGCTTGTTTGGGTTGTTGTGCTTAGCTAGGAGCTTAGAATTGCTGGGCTTCGCTCAGCTCAAGCTACCTTAGCATGACTATAACAACAGCCAGAGGTAACCAACAGCGCCGTGTCGATTCTCCGGTCGCGCTTTCTCGCTCGCTGAATGGCTGGGCGGCATGTGAGCGGCATCCGTCAGCACTCGCCCTCAATGTGCCACACGGCCTCGCCGCCCACCTATGTCCCACGCGTCGATAGTATGCCGCCTCTTCTCCACCACACAGAAATATCGTTGTCATCACTTTACCCGGATCGCCTACCTCGGGTCATGACATAGACTTAGATTGCTCATCCAGCCAACGCACCCCCCCTCACCCTCACTGAAGGAGAGCCAATCTACCAGCGACGGAATGTGTGGCGCGCTTGATGCCGCACAGACGTCGAACCGTGCATCGGTCAGAAAGCGAGCTTCATTCAAAGGCGAAACAAGCAGGCGCCCAAGAAGCAAGCTACTTGGTAGGCCTTTCCACGATTCTTGGACAACAACGGCGCCCTTCCTCATATCCCGCAGACGCTTCTTACATGTCCCCTCCTCCTCCCTCCCAATCCGTATCTAACTGCTGTCAAAACTATTGCAGTTATCCTCGTGAGGAAACCGCGCCCTTCGATGCCGCACACCGCCGCACAACCGCCTCCTTGCCCCACAGATACTGCCGCAAACCAACGGCAGGTCCCCAAAGATTGGAGTGATGCGGGAAAAATATGGAGGAGGTCAACAGAGCGGGCCGGAATGAGCCAATCAAAAACGGACAGATCGAGCGGGCGACTAAGGGAAGCATTTGTAAGGCGACGGGTCAGTGCGGGAAGTCATCTGCACACAACATGGCGGGCGTCACTGACAGTGAAGACCACCGATCAGACTGGCTGGCGAACGAGATGACCAAACGGCGGAATGAGAGGACGACACCGCACAGGAACGAGCGGTGTTGTGTGAAAATCGGGGAACCGAACTCGTGTGACAAAAAACCCGCATCACCAAAAAACAACCCGCAAGTCTTTTTCTTTTTTGGGGGGAAAAAGCAAGCAATTCCAAGAGCAAATGAGGCCGGGGAATTCCTCACAAACAACCCGGAACGACGCAGACTGACACTGGGACTGAGCCCAGTTTTAGGTTAGTGGAGATTGACCCCAACAGCACGGTCGGCCATTAGGCCATCCAACACGAAAATTTTCCAATCAAAGGAAACCAATTGACTTCACCTACCCCTTATATCCCTCCAATTCCAACCTGCCCTTCCATCCCTCCTATTAGACCCCCCTTCCCGCTATTCCCTCTCTAGTTCCCCTCCTATCCTACCCTCCTATCCTACCCTCCTATCCTACCCACGTACCCTTAGTTCGCAGCCCGTCAGGGGTGCGTTTTATGCCCTGGGAACATTGCGTTTTTTATGCCCCGGGAACATTTTTCGTCGTCGTCACCAAAAGGTGAGTTGGAAGGGTGGTGTATTTGCTGGGGGTCCAATTCGTGGGAAATAGGCAGTTCAAGGAAGTGCAGGACCGGTAGCTGCCTGTGGCATTAGGGCCTTGAAATTTCGAATCTGAAACGGCGTGGACGCAGGCCCTGTGGTGAGTTAGGGCGGGTTTTTAGGGGGGGCGCCGACTGGAAGGCGCAGGCGGGTCCAATCTTGCAATTTTCGAGCGCCAACTTTGGCGATTTTTCGTACGCAGAATAATGGGAGAAAAGATCTGAAAATTTGATATCGGGTAGGCCAGGTCGTGATCTTTCCAGGAACAATATCAACAAAATAAAATAAAATCGTTTAGACCATGAAATAAATGCCGCGCCAATTCGTCACTTTTTCCATTTTTGGCACACGACAACTTGTTCGCAGCCCGTCAGAGTTGCGTTTTCCCCCCCTGAGACATTTTCGTCGTCGTTCATTATACTGGTCGTTCATGCGGGCCCATTGGTCGTTCAAAGGCTGGTAAAATGAAAGGCACTGGCATTTAGGGGGGGGAGCGCAGTTCAAGCAAATGCATGACCGGTATTTGCCCGTGGCATTTTCCTGGGAACCGGTAGGTGGCCGTGGTCTAAAATATTTTGAAACGGCGTGGGGGCCGCAGGTCCCTGAAATTCAAATATGAAACGGTGTGGACCCAGGCCTACAGCCTCATGCCCAGCCCACCCACTTCGGCCCAATCGGCCTGGATGATTTTGTATGAATCTGAAAGCAGTTCTGAGCCAGATTCGAAAACAGAGATGTTCTCTCTCTCTCTCTCTCTCTCTCTCTCTCTCTCTCTCTCTCTCTCTCTCTCTCTCTCTCTCTCTCTCTCTCTC